AGGGGCCATCTTGGAAAGCTGCCAAACTATAGACGATCCCGACAGATCGTAAAAAAAAATTCTTATTTTCAAAATATCGAACGGTACAGAAAAGTTGAAGGAATGATATACAGTGAATAGCCTTACCATTCATCTGGACAATAGTCGCGTCAATTCTCATATGTAATTAAGGTCAATTTTAGAAGCTGGAAACACCAAAATGCTTTATTTCAAGCGTTCACTATGTCTCCCTTAAGAATATTCTCAGCCGGGCGGTGGCGAACGCCTTTGATCCCAGCACTAGGGAAACAATTTTTGTATTTTATGACTCTCTGTGTATGAGTGCCACATGTATGCAGGTGCCCTAACAGGCCTCAAGAGGGTTTCTGGAACTGGAGTTACAGGTGATTTTGACCAGATATGTGACTGTTGGGAACCAAACTCAGGTCCTCTGCAAGAGCAGCAGGTGCTTTTAGCCCTTGGGCCATCTCTCCAGTTCCCAAGTTTATTTTTTTTTCATGATTGCTTTTTATTTTTTATGTGCATTGGTGTTTTGCTTGTATGACTGTGTGAGTGTGTTGGCATCACAGACAGTTGTGCGCTACCATGTGGGTGCTAGGAATTGAACCTGGACCCTCAGGAAGAGCAACCAGTGCTCTTAACCTCTGAGTCATCTCCTCAGCAACTGCCCCCCTGTTGGGAGCCAAATCTCAGTGCTTGGCATGAGATCCTAGGCCATGCTTGGCCGGCCACATAGTTAACCTTTACATAGCAGCTCCTTAGAACCTCAGCTCAAGAAAAGAAACAGCTTGACCCAGTCCTCCACCCACAGGGTCAGTCACCTAGGCAACCCTCCCGTGACCTCTTACTCATGAACTCTTTCCCCTGCCAAACATCCTCTTTGCGGCTTCCTAATATGGTGCCCACACTAATACCTGGCGCACAATCAACCCATTCTGCCTCTCCCCATATCCTGCTCTGCCGACTATATAAGCTAGCCTGAGAAAAGTAAAGTTTGCCACTTGATCAGAATCCTGTCTTGTGGTTGTTCTTTCTGCGTCTCTTGTCCCCATTCCCTATCCCTGACTCTCTTGTCCCAGGTTGATGTCCTGTAGGTCAGAACACCACACCCCCTAAGCTTTATTTATTAAAATCTATTCTTTAGAGTTCTAAATTCAAATTCCTCCTACACAAATGAGCATCTTTGTAGTAATCCTGACACAAACAAATTGATGTCATGTCATGTACTCTGACCATATATACGTCTTTCATCAACTTTATGGGCTGAGCAGGATGGTGAGTGCCCACAGACCCTCCCCATTACACTGGAGAAAATACACACTGAGTTGGGAGACTTGTTAAGGCAGGATCTTGATTTATTCCAACAGGCAGGAACTTATATACAGCTGAGGTAGGGAATGGGAATCTTAGGATGGGGTAAGGTGACCTGAGAAATAAGGGCCAATAATACTCCACCAAGCTGGCAGGTAGCTAGCAGGGAGGAAGTCTTGCATCAGGCCTTGCTGAGTCACCCCCATGTGGAGGTTGCAGGCCAGAGACAGGTGGCCAAACTCTAGTCAGGCTCAGGAGGTTACACTGGGCCTTGCATCAAGCCTTTTTAGGTCCAATATCTCCCCCTTTTGTTTTTGTAAAAATGGTGGAAATCATGGCCTCTGTCTTAGGTGGTCCCCCTTTGGGGACTTTACCAGTCATTCATGAGTACCATGTATCCAGCTCTTGAAAGACCACTCCATGACCTGTCTTAGGTTGCCTCAGCCTGTCTGAGAACTTACCCATCGCTGGTCAGGTGGAGGGCAGGAGAGGGATGTCCTTATGAGGACTGCCAGTCGTGAGGAGCCTGGTTCCTGAGTAGCGAACCTAACATAATGAACTTCAATCTGATAAGTTTTACTACCTCTAGCTGTTAGTGAATAAATTGCATGACCTTATTATTGTGCCCAAATTCTGAACCCCAAAATCACCAAAAGTCCCATTTCGATGCAAAAGCAAAGAGTCTTTTATTGTAGTTGTTTAAGGAGCTAACCCCATTAGCTCCAGGCTTTCATCCATTCACCACAGTGGACGGCTAGAGAAAGACACTGAGAAACCATTAGGCAGGAATCTTATAGGGCAGCGTAAGAGGAGTGTCCAGGGGTACGCACAAGCTCAGGACTGGTGTGCCTCCAGGCTTGGAGGGTTTGCCCTGTGTTGATTGGTCAACTGGTTGTTATGGCCCATAGGCCCTCCCAGGGTGGTTGCTGTGCTCTGCACATCACTGTTGAGCACTTGTCTGTAAAGCACACCCAGAGCCATAAAGCTCAGTCCCGCCAGCTAACTTCTGATTGGTTTCTTGCCATGAGGAGGGTATCTGACCCCCTAGTGACCAGGACAGAAGGGGCAAGATCAGGCGAGCACATGTTAGCCTGTCACGGCTGCTAAAATGGGGGCTGATCCCTTCACTTATTAATCATGAAGATGAGGAGGAGAGGCCCCAAGCAGGAGGAGAAGGTAGGGTAGGAAGCCATTTAAGCCAGCCAGTCCACAGTGGGTTGTCCTGGAAGTCCTGCTGTCTCCTCTCCAATCCTCCTGAAGCCTTTTTTCTTTTCTTTTCTTTTTTTCTTTTCTTTCTTTCTTTTTCTTTTTTCTTTTTTTTTTTTTTTTTTTGGTTTTTCAAGAGTTGTTTAATTTATTTTCTGACATCCTTTATGTTGTTAATTTGTTACGCAACCTAGTAGAGGCCAGTATTAAGCTGGACTCTACCCCTATATCTCCTCTCATGATTCAAGCCGGCTCCCTACTCAAACAAAGGATTAGTCCCATTTTTTGTCAACATCTCAGGAGTCATCAAAATTTACCGGGATTTCTTTCTGAAGGAAATAATTTGGCCGATAAAACGGCTTCTATGCCTCAATATAATACTGCTACAGAAGCTACACACTTCCACCTACTAACCCATGTGAATTGGAGGGGTCTTTTTTTGGGGGGGGGTTCGAGACAGGGTTTATCTGTGTGGCTTTGGAGCCTA